CCTCAACAAGCAAATGGAGCGGAGCAAACAGTCTTAAAGCTGCTGTGTTGCCTTGTGTCATAGCTAAACACCACCAGCAGATGGCACCCTAATGCTGCAGTGTTGAAATAGTAGTTTAGTAGGTAGGTGATAGGTTTGATGCAGGTAAATATGGCATGCAGCAGACGATAGTAAACCAACTGGTTTGTTGAGAAGATTAAAGATGAGAAGTGTTGTCTTTACATGCAGAGACAGCAGGATGATGATATGCAGTGTGCAGTGCAAGCTGGGATACTAACGGTCAAGGGGTGCTTAGGAGATGAGGGGCAGGAGTCAGAGTCTGGAGAGCTCTGCTTGGGCACCGAAGCACACTCCTACCAACAAGAGGCACAGTGTGATAAGTCACTAATAACTATACATGACTACACATGAAGACAGTAGGTCTGAGGTTAGAGAGTGATGGAGAAGAAACCTGGGATGGAATCACAAGAATGAGTTATTGTTAATAGAAGTCATTAAAAGAGAAAGATAAAAAAGACAAGTTAGGGTTTAAACTGCAAACATCTTGGATTTCGGCTTCAGAGATGTTCAATATTTAGTCCAATAAGCTTCTTCTTTTCCTGATCTGCATCAACAACAATGTACACTGAAGAAACTAACAAAACACCAACATATAGGGTGTTGTTTTTAAATCTAGCCACTCTTTAGCCAGTTCTTTTAACTCGTGCATATTGTTAGATCCCATATTAGAACCATTTCTTTAATGTGACTTGCTAAACTCTGCATCAGGGAGGGTTAAAAAAAGAAAAGAAAAAAATACGTGCCTAGTTGCATAATAAAAAGTGCAGGGACTAGTTTTTGGAGCTTTGCCCAAACTGAAGGGTAAGGTTGAGGATGTCTAAATCTCTGCAGCGTCTCCTTTCTTTTATCAGTTTGTATTCTGTGAGCTTTCCTTTCAGAAGCCCTGAGCGGAAAGTGAGAAAAGCTTGTGGTGATTCATTTTCTAATCTCTAACACGTTTATTTTCCTCCTGACTTAAAAGGTAAAAATCAATTTCAGACCGTTTTACAATGTTTTACTTTTTCTACCTGTGAAATGGGAAGAAAAAAGTTCTCCAGTTGAAACAGGTGAAAAGAAAATTAGCCAAGTTTGTAAAAAAGTTTCTTAGGTAAAAAAAAA